TGAGCAGAATATTATTATTCTGGTTCTAGGTTGCCATTTGGTTTTAAACAAAGTTCTGTGATAGAAACTATCTTCAAGGTATTTATAGCAAGTCCAGAGTTTAAGGATTTCATGACACTATTGGTTCAGGTATATCTTCAGATTTGTGAAAGCGTCTCTATTAGGGACATTTCCGGGGTTTGGCTTAAAATTGATTTATAATCTATTTTTATTATTTCTAATTCTATTCCTATTACTACTTAAAACTAAACATTTGTCATCATTGTCCGGTTTATTTAGTAATTCTTCTTTCTCTACTCGTTGCTTGGCCTCTCCTTGGTTCTTTTTATGTTGCTCTGGTAGTTTTTTGAACACGCAATTTCCAACACCTTTTCTTCTTTATAGCACCATTTCCATTCCTTGCCGTCCACTGTGATTTTATTATATCCTATTTTGACCATTTTTCCATTTTCCCTCATTTCTCTTGCTTTATCTCTTAAAGCTTCCATTTTCTCTCTCTCTCTCCTTTTGTGAGATCCTCTGTAATCCATATTTTTTTCGATCTTCACATTCTTAAGTTTGTATTTGTTTCTTAAGATTGTTGTTTTTTCTTCTTCGCGTTCAAGTTCAATTAAGCATGTTTTTGTTCCTATTTTTTGTGCTCTTTTAATATTGGTTTTGACTCCAAGATGATTTTCTAATATAGTAGTCATTCCCTCTTTCAATGTTTTTGGGTCTTCAGAGTCTATTTTTGATCCACTGATGATTATATTCTTTTTTCTTTGTCTAACCTTTCTAATGAGCGTTTTAGATCATTTAATTCTTCCGTTATCTTTTTGTTATCGGTTTTGGTTAGTTCGTTTTCTCTTTTCAGTTCTTCTTTCTCTTTTGTCCATTCTTCCTTCACCCTTTCTATTTCCAGTTTTATGCTTTTTATTTCTTCGTTATTTTGTTTTATCTCTTTATTAACTTCATTTATATATCTTCTCATCTCCTTATTTTCTTCCTTCATTTCTGTTTTCAGCTCTTTTATTTCCGTTTTAATCTCCTTATTTATTTCTTCTAGTAGTTTCTTCAGTTCTTCCATTTCGCGATTTTTTATGTTATCCTTTGGGGATGTTCTTAACGTGGCTTTGCTTCTTTTGAAGGCTTCCTCCTCGTCGAATGAGTTATCGTGTTCTGGCTTATTTCTTTTGCTGTTCATTCGATTTAGTTATTGTATTACATTTACTTTTAATTTATTATTTTAATTTAATTTAATTCTAATCACAACTTTAATCAAATCTATTTTAAGGCCAGATCTGGATTTTTGTAATAAAATTATGTGGCTTTTATTTTGATCATTAATTTCTTGTCAGCACTAATTACTTTCTTATCTGCCAAAAAAAAAAACAAAAACAAAAAACGCGTAGGAATGCCTAAGCAGGTCGACCCTTCGAACATTCGCCAAAACCACTTTTTTAATCTTTCACTCAATTATTCATTTACTTAAGACTTGTTAAAATTATTAAAATAGTTCTATCTTACTTGTCTGATGGTATTTTCTTTATTAACTACTATCACCTGTATGCACTTAACTTTTGATACTTATTTTTGGACTCGGTTGAATTTTTTAGCTTGTAATTCCCGAATAATTTTAAGTTTATTACGAAGCGAAATTAAATGAACCTACTGTTGTCACTTGCAGGACCGTTTCAAATAGTCAAAAAATTAATAAACAACCTACTAAAATAGAAATATCGCCTATTTAAGACGTAATCCATTACCGGCCCAAGGTACAAAGCACTCCTAGCATATGCTAATGATATAGATCTCATAAGAAACTCTCTCGTCCGCAAACATCTTCAATAAAGTGAAGAGAGCACGAAAAATTTTTCACTTAAAATCAACGAAATGAAAACCAGATACAAGCGAATCAACAAAAGAGACCAATTCAATAAATCTAGATAAAATATTAAAGTTAACAATCACAATTTCCAAAATATGGAACACTTTAAATATCTTATAAGATAAATTATCACGGTTAATAATAATGCCACTAAAAAATACAGAGAATAATTCAAACTTTAGGCCTATTTTAATACATGGATGCGAATCATGGACAATGAGTAAAACAAGTAAGGAAGAATTACGAATATTTGAAAGAAAAATAATAAACATTTTTTAACCTCATTATCATATCGCTACAAATCTGCATAGAATAAGAACACATACTAAATAAAGAAAGCTCTTATAACGATATTGTTCCGGAAAATAAATCCCTTAAGGTAGATCGGACACATGCATAGACGCAAGATGTCAAACTTATAAAACTGGTATGGAAGGAAGTTAGCACAGAAAAATGCCATATCTAAACAAAATAACATTTCTGTTGATTACAGATTCGTGGAAAATCGATCAACTTGGAGAAAATTTGTAGTTAGCGAAGACCCACCCAGTGTTGTAGCGCTACGTTATGATAATGATAAAGACAAAGGAGAAACAGTGACAAAAGCAACAAACATGGACTAATGGAGTGAAGCTGCTTTAAAATCTTAATTGGAGAGGATTAAAATGAAAGTATAAGAAATACAATGTACTTTCTTAGCAGTGTACTTTTACCTCTTTCAATTAAGTATGTTTATATGGACTTCTTATTTTTGTTATCATTCATACGCATTACAGTGTGTAACAGATATGTATACTAATAACTACCTGTTTTTGGTAGGTACGTGCTTCTCTAAAAATAGCTTTATAGATACAAAAGGATTTCATTACCAAATTGGATTTTGTTTCATTTGCGGAAATTTCCTAATGTATTTTGTTAACGTGAGTATGTCTTTATACGTTTTATTTAAGAACCCTCTTAATAAAAACTTCTTTTATTTCATCTCTTGTTTTATGATATCTTGTATACAGCTTTTTTATTATTTTATTTCTAGTTGTATCTGTGTATTACATATAATTCTGGATAGACGGTTATCTCGAAATATAGTGCTAAAATAGATATTTTTGTGTAAAAATGGGTAGTAGTGCACTAAAAAGGGAAGAATGCTTAATTTATCTAACAAGAATTATATCACTTCCCGATCATTACATATTACTGAATATTTTATCTAGTATTTAGGGGTAATATGTAATCAATATAAGTGGAGGTAGTGTCAAATTTGCAATGATCTTTCATCATCATCATCAACTAGCCTCTAACGTCCACTGCTGAACATAGGCCTCTCGCATGCTTTTCCACTTAGTCCGATTTTGCGCCATCTGAATCCAATTTGTAGTCACTCTTTTTATGTCATCTGTCCATCTCGTTGGGGGTCGACCTCTATTTCTGTAGGCTTGTATTCGGGGTCTCCATTCTAAAATTCTTTTTGTCCAGCGGTCATCAACTGATCTTGCTACATGACCTACCCAGTTCCACTTTAGTGTTGTTATCCTTTCAATAACGTCTGCTACTCCTGATCTTTTGCGTATAGTAGCATTGGGTATTCTATCACGTAGAGAAATCCCTAACATAATTCTCTCCATTGCTCTTTCCGCAATTTGTAGTTTACTTGAAAAAGACTCAGAAAAGACTGATTTGGATGATAAAGTCAACTAAGAAAGTGTGATGAATCTTGTACCACCCCACATTCACATAGGTTAACCGGAGTCCTGGCAGATTTAAGGAAGATAACTACTATCAGGAAGTTTCTTTCGAGGGTTCAGATGTCGAGGAGCAGCTTACTTTTTTTTGTATATCCTGCAGATGAGTTGATCTGGTCAGTTTTTTCTTCGATTCTAGTCATAAAATGGGCTGGTATGCGTGGAGTTGATGTTACGAATCTAGACTTTGTTTCTTTCGTTCTCTAGCTACTTATCTTCGGATATTAGGTGGATTGATAGCTACGATATTGTAGAGCTTATGTATGGATGTGAGTCTTAATAACTACCATCAGGAAGTTTCTTTCGAGGGTTCAGATGTCGAGGAGCAGCTTACTTTTTTTTGTATATCCTGCAGATGTGTTGATCTGGCCAGTTTTTTCTTCGATTCTAGTCATAAAATGGGCTGGTATGCGTGGAGTTGATGTTACGAATCTAGACTTTGTTTCTTTTGTTCTCTAGCTACTTATCTTCGGATATTAGGCGGATTGATTGCTACGATATTGTAGAGCTTATGTATGGATGTGAGTCTTAATACAGGTACTCTGAATTTGACTGACTAATTTATAGCTAAATCTACGTATTAAGTATGTGTTGATGTCACCCATACTAGCAAGGTATATTCGGCAGAAGCATAGAGTTCAAGTCTACGTTTTAAGGGTGGAAGAATGTGCTCCCTATTTTTAGCTGACAAGTTTGCGGAGAATATAATTTTTTTGGTTCTCATTTCATTCTTATAGTAGTTTTAGGTTTTCATTTAGTTTTAAACAAAGTTCTGTGAATATTAAAGTGTGACGGAAACTATCTTCAAGGTAGTGATGGGATAATTCGAATGAAAAATAATCGACCATTCGATTATTGAAATAACTCGAGATATCTCGAAAACTTGAACAAGATCACTCGAATTATTAGATCACTCAAATGACTCAAACAATGTATTCGGAAAATCACGTTATTCGAATATCCGATTTGAATTTTGATTGGGAAGAGAGGGAGATGCCAGAGGAGTGATGAGTAATGTATTCGAATGAAACATTCGGTATATATTCACACGTTGTGCGTGGCTACATTACATAATTACATATTAGAAAGGAACAGGAACGGAATTCCAATTTCAATTAAAAATAAAACATCTTCAGAAAATATATGAAACAGAATCAAATGTATTTAATATTACAAAAAGTAAAAACAGTATTAAATATAAAAAAAAAACTAACTATAAATAATCGAAAAATATGCACAAACAGAAATAAAGTTTTTAAAAACTATTATCTAGAAAATAACATATTTTAATAAACATAATATTAAGAACACATTCTAATGTCTAATAGTCTAGTTTCTAAAAAAAATAACTTTTATTTGTTAAAACACAACTGTTTAATTAAAACAAAATACATTTATGTGCTGTTTAAAAATAAAATTTGATTCAAATTTTTGGGTGATAACCGATTTCTTCGTAGGTTTGTTAACTGCCCAGACTTTGAAAATACCCTTTCGGAAGGTACTGATGTGGCAGGTATTGACAAATATTTTTTAGCCAAATAATACAGCTCAGGGAAAGTGGATTTGTATTTTTTCCAAAATTCCATCGGGTTTTTTTTTCTTTCGAAATGTGGCATTTCTAGGTATTGTCGTAGAATTACAGTGACAGTACTGGTTGGTGTTGATAAGGATTTTGCTTTGGCCAATTTATGGTCAAAATGGGACCATATATCTAAGTCTCCTTTGTTGTCATCAGATACTGAAGTGTGTTGATGTTCTTGAATTTCCGCATTACTGTTTTCATTAACAATGGCTGTTAGTTCTTCAGTTATCCATTTTTGGGCGTTATTCGCATTAGTATCATTCCCAAATGCCAATTTTTTAAATCTTGGATCTAGAAAGACGGCTTTTGAAATTATTTTGTCATATTCTAATATCCCTAATCGACGAGCAATTGTATCTAATAAGCTCTGTTTTAAATTTCCACAAATGTCTGTGGTGGTATCCATCCTATTCAACGAAAACTGAAGACCCCTCAAAAGTGGAATCACAGTTGATAAAGTTGGATATTTTTCACCCGATAAAGCGGTTGTCATTATCTCTAATGGTTTCAACAGTTTCAAACTTTCCTCAATGACGCCCCATTCACTGGCATCCAGAAATTCTGGCGCCTTATCAATTTTTGTCATGGTAATTGATAAGGCATCTTTGATGGTTACCAATCTTTCCAACATCAATAAAGTTGAATTCCATCTAGTTGTAACGTCCTGTTTTACCTTGAGAACCGGAAACCCCATTTGTTGTTGTACCGACTTGAGTTTGTTGCACGATAATGCACTGTGATTGAAGTGTCCCACAATTTTTTTACACTTATTTAAAATACATTGAAATTCGGTATTATTCTTAAGAGCATCATTTACACTTAAGTTCAACGTATGTGCTACACAAGGGTGGTGATGTTTTTTTAAAAATTCAATTATAGCACATTTAATATTCGGCCCATTGTCTGACACTATGGTAGTGATTTTATGAAGAATATTCCACCTACAGAAGATCTCCTTCAAAATATTGGAAATATTTTCACCTGTGTGATGTCCTAAAATTTCTTCCGTTGATAACACTTTGGAGAAAAATTCTTCTTCGCAGATAAAATGACATGTTACCGTAACATAACTCCTGTTGCTGTCAGATGTCCAAATGTCTGTCGTAACTGAAACATTGTCGGTAGCACTAAGTAATGATTCTAGCCTAGAAACTTCTTGAGTGTACATTTTGGGAAGAAGTTCATACGAAAGCTTTTTACGATTTGGCAGTTTATATTTGGGTTGCAGCAAGTTAGAATATTCAATAAAACCTTGGTCTTCCACTATAGAGAGGGGTTGATAATCTTTGGTTATCATTGTTACTAGAGCGCGGTCAATTTTTTCTATGTCACTGTCTTTTAAATCATCATTTAGAGCGCCAAACAGCTTCATTTGCTTTTGACGTTTTGGTTTTGGTAGAGGTAAGTGAACGTCATCTGATCCATATAAAGGCTCTGAAGCTGAAGACGGCCCTGCCTCCTGATTAATAACACTGGGAGTTTGCTCCAAATCTGTAGTAACAGGTTCATCTATTGGAATTGTTAAAAGTGTTGGGTGTATTCTTTTTATATGCTGTTGAAGATTAGTAGTATTACCAAAAAATTTTAATATTTTTTTACATACCCTGCATTTCACTTGACGGTCCTCTATTTTATCGAAATATTCCCAAACAACAGATTTTTTAGCACCTGGTCTCATTTTTCAAGCTACTACCTATTTACGTTCAATATCACAATAATTTGATAAAAAGTAATTTCGATCTATCACTCTCGACTCTAGCCTAAGGATAAACTTCTAAAATATAAAAATATTCGGGACAATACACCGTTTAGGGCACTCTACATAACCAAATAAATATTTTCCTCGAGGCACCACGTCACAGTGTTGCCGTATTTATTTTAGTAAAATATGTACATGAATGTTGAAATATAAAGTTACTTTTACGAAACTATAATTTGTATTATGACAAGTTTTGAATAAGTATAAAACAAATATTTTCTGTTACTTTAAATGCAGTTAAATATTGTTAATTAGCAAAATTTTATAGTATATGCATTTGACTATTATCTTTAATTTCACTAAAATCTATAAATTTTTATATAATTTTAATGCATTTCTATTATATACAGTAATTTTATTAATACTATTAATTTTTTATATCATTTTAATCAATTTTGGAGTGACTGACAAAAATTGGAGACTTGGCAACTCTGACACTGTTTAAGAGTGCGTATGTTAAATGTCATATAAATGCTTGGTTAAGTAGAGTGTCCTAAACTGCGTATTGCCCTAAATTCGTTACTATTATTATACATTATTACACATATTTTACCAGAAAAACCTACTAAACAAATCCTTTTATTTTTTTAGATGATTTTAATAGTTTAAAAGTTTATAAAGTACTCGATGACCTTGAGCACTTAAGTTTCGAGTTCAGAAAATTACCATCTGGATATTTATTGTATACGAGTGATGCATAATTCGAATGATAACTCGATTATTACAATCACTCGAGTACCAGTCATTCGATTATTAGATTAATTCGATTATGCTCATCACTACTTCAAGGTAATTATAGCAAGTGCAGAGTTTAAGGATTTCTTGACACTATTGGTTCAGGTATATGTTCAGATTTGTGAAAGCGTCTTTGTTAGGAACATTGAAGGAGCATACCTAACTTTTTCCGGGGTGTGGCTTAAAATTGATTCAGATTCTATTTTTATTTTGTTTAAGGTATTATTTAGATTTTTCTCTATTTTAGCAACAAAAGTTTTTGGTTATGCAACAATAGATGTATCGTCTACATAATAAAAGTCCTACTATTTACCGGTATGGGTTGTGTAAATTTTATACAGCGTAGGTGCGATTACGGTACCCCAAAGAAGAGCGTTCTTCTACGTTCTCCATCTGCTATTCTTACCGTTGAGTGATACGAAAAATCTTATGTTGTGTAGGTATACACGGATAATACAAGTGAGTTTATTACCTAAGGGGATATCACATAGATTTTGAAAAAATGCCCTCTAATTTAAGGTGTCGTAAGCGGCATTGAGATTGACAAATACGACTCCTCATACCTGATATTTTTCATACCCGTCTTCGCTGTGTTGGGCAAGATTTAGTATTTGTGATGTACACGATCTTCCCTGTCATATATAGCCACTTTTGTCTTTTAATTTGAGTTCTTCTTCTATTATCGGTTTATATTAAGGATCATGTGCAGATTTATTTTGTATAGCTGACAAAATAAATAGATATATTGGCCGATAGCTTTTGTGGTCGTTGGAGTTTTTGCCAGGTTAAAGCATAGTGATAACTTTGTCTTTGCTTTGCTTGTCTACAGACTTTAGATATTAGCCATTGTAGTATTTTTGGTCAAAATTTTATAATTAGTTTTGTGCTCAGATCCTCAATCGGGAGCCGTAATATTGTTTATTTTATACGTGGATAGTGGATCCAAGCTCAACATAGTTAAATGTTTCCCGCAGTGACTAGTTTGAGTCCTCTCTCATTTTAAGTTTTTCTTTGCTTCTTTGCCGGCACTTATTATGTAATCTTCTGCGATCAGTTTTATACCAAATACCCTAGGTTTGGCCCTCTATGTGCTTACTGCACTAGAAATACGTCACATTTGTGTTAAGCGTTTATGTCTCATAAGCTTAAGTAAAGTAGAGCGTATGTATAATACCCAGTTAAGTGACAATCATATTATTCATGTTAATGTAAAGTTAATATACTTTTTGCTTATATAATTACTCAATAAAGTATTTGCTTTATTTATTACACCTTCCATCAGGCTTATGAATTGTCTTTATCTCTAGATATAGTTTACTTTATCTCTATAGAATAGTTGGTCCTAAAAAGGACCGATTTGACAAAACTCATATTGGACGAGTGATTGAAGAATTAACCAATTAACTAATTATTCATTACCCAAGGTACGCCCGATTGCGGTGGTCTTATTAGTACTTAAATTTTCGTGAAGGCTTTTACGTTGAACTCCATAAAAAATGACAAAAGTATTTACTTTTGACTAAAAATCTAAATTTTACATACTGTTACTTTTAGACGATATTTCGAGTCAGATTTGTATAGTTATAACTGTAGCCATGGACGTATACGTCCATGACTGTAGCTAATATATAGACTCTTTGTAAAAAGTAAATGAGGTTGTAACATCGGTCACAACTCATATATGGATAATAAGGAAACAAACAGGTTAAAATAGGTGTACAAAATTTTAACTACATATATATCGGCGCCATTGTTCAGGAGATGAGTTTATCCCAGAGATCAAAGATTACATTCTTTTACATGGATATTCTGGGTTCTATTTAATTATTTTCATTACCAAAAAGTATATTTATAATAAAGGCCTTAAGCTGTCTTTAGATTCTATGAAATTTTTTTGGCATAGACTTTTAGTCATTCAGCCAGACTCAACATGGTACAAATAGTTGTTTGAGTTTATATTAATAAATATACAAAACAAAAGACAGGTAAACAGGGTCACTATCTTCTCGCCTAGGGGCCCGTCAAGGCATTTTTTAGAAAGACGTACAACACTAGGCCACGGTAAGAAAGGAATTTGACAATTGGGTTAGAAACAAAGGTTACGTTATTACCTAATGCATAATTATTTAGATGGTTATTTTACTATCCTTTAAAAACATACCTAAGGAATCATACACTGCTCTCGAGTCAGTAATATCCATGAAAATTTAAACCTATGGAAATTGGCAAATTACAAAATACAGACATAATTCTGAATACCAACTTGGGACAAACAGTTTTCCCCTCCTCAACTTATTCAGTTACAATCTATAACGTGTAAACGCATACTTGTTTTATTGTTAGATACAATGAATTTCCATCAAGTAACTTTCAGCAATGTGACAACAAATTGCTATATAACAGTACGAGGCAATATCATCATATTTGCGTCACATTAATATTTATGTGGCAATCAGCTGTAAAAATCATTACCGTTTTTCCGATCGTATCATATTTTAGCATAGTCACATAAGAATTCTTTTTAAGCAATATACTGTGTCATATTCTTCTGATTTATTTTGTTGACAATTTATTTATGCTTATTCGTTCACCTTTTGTAAAGCAGTCTGTTTAAATATTAGGGATTTATATAATCTTTTTGTTTATATAATTTGTTTATCGATTTTACTATTTTAGATAGAGTTTCATAAATATAGTTTTTTTTTATTTTTTCTATGGTAATACATATATATATATATATATATATATATATATATATTAGTATAATGGTAAGGTTAATTGGGTTAGCAGCTGAATAATGAAAGCCAAAGTGTGCTCTTTTCAACGACTTCGTTATATTTCGTTAAATTTCTTTAACATCTTCAGACGAATGTTGTGTGAGGTTGCAGGCAACAGTGGTATTTGAAAGTTCCATGTTGAAAAACTTTTTTGAAGATTTTTTTATAAAGCAAAAAAAATATAAGTTGTATGTGTTATATGGTGGCTTGAAAACTCAAACAATACAAGTGCATTTTTGTTATTTTTGTCCAGTGTGATAGTACAATACAAATATTAAAAAACATTGAACATTTAAGAAACAAAACAGTTAAAACACAACTACATATCACATTGTCATTTTTTGGACCAGTCTATTCACCTATGCACAAACAAAACTTTGTGCATAGGTGAATAGACTGGTCCAAAAAATGACAATGTGATATGTAGTTGTGTTTTAACTGTTTTGTTTCTTAAATGTTCAATGTTTTTTAATATTTGTATTGTACTATCACACTGGACAAAAATAACAAAAATGCACTTGTATTGTTTGAGTTTTCAAGCCACCATATAACACATACAACTTATATTTTTTTTGCTTTATAAAAAAATCTTCAAAAAAGTTTTTCAACATGGAACTTTCAAATACCACTGTTGCCTGCAACCTCACACAACATTCGTCTGAAGATGTTAAAGAAATTTAACGAAATATAACGAAGTCGTTGAAAAGAGCACACTTTGGCTTTCATTATTCAGCTGCTAACCCAATTAACCTTACCATTATACTAATTAATAATTAGACAGCTGTGATCATTCTCCCTTATATATATATATATATATATATATATATATATATATATATATATATATATATATATATATATATATATATATATACCCAATTCGAAAGGGAGAAAACCAACGAGTTCTAAATTGAACATAGACATTATTCTCCATTTCTTCCTATATGTTATATAGAGATCATCGTCATCGTATAGTCGGAACGCAACAAGATTTTATTACCATTTCTTCCTTTTTGTCTCCTCATTCCTATTGCAAACTCAGCCACATAAATGGCGTTTTAAAAATATATTTCAATATTGCCGAAGTGCCTTTCCTAGGATACTTTTTTTAAGTCTAGTTCGTTTGATTACATGTAATTTATTTGATAGTCCTCAACAGATATGTATTGATTGTAGGTAGAATAGCAGGTGTTGATAAATATGATGAGTCGGTAAGTAGTCTCATTATTCCTAAATCTGCGCCCTTCATCCGTGGACATCCTAAGGGCATTTTTTCTCTCGGGGCATCCTACCAATTTAACTTGGGAATGCAGTTAATGAGAGAGCCTTTGGATAAAGCCAGCGCAACTTTGGAGTTGAGATTTAGGTTCTTGTACCTCGTTGCTATCTTTATATATGTGTTTGACC